GGGATAAGGCCAGCAGGTGGGGAGAGAAATGTCCCAGAGGGCTGAAGAAGATACCATATGGGTATCCAGCATCCAAGAGAGAAGAAGGAGAAGAAACTGTGAACTTCCGGCACGCCCTGCAGCTGATTTGGGAGACAATACATCTTTTAGATCTTAGAGGTTCATTCTATAAAGTCAAGGCTGCTCAGAAACCAAACTCTGCCAATCCTGCTGTTAAAAGACTTCTAACAAATGGCTTTAGTGAAAAATTATGTTTCTGCCACTGGCAGATGGTAGGATGAAATCCAGGATCCTGAACAGCCCCAGGGTTTGCAGTTCGTACTAGGCTGGGTACGCGCAGTCACCTGGTGTTTAGGCAGGGGATGTGTGGGCCAGGGAATGTCTGGAAAAAGGAGCTGACCTCATGCAAATGGTCTTGGACACAGGATGCAAAAGGACCATCAGAAATGCTGAGAGGGACCACCCTTGATAGTTTCACTACGCAGTCTCTCACAATACATCAGCCTTGAACTACCTAAAATAATGTGGTATCCTTGATTTCCACAGCTTCTGATTTCCATCATGTAACATAGGCTGGGAAATTACATTTTTTGGCATGTTGTCAATATGATTCTTAACCTGAGAATGCTCCTGTACAGATGTTTTTCTTGCTTTGTCTAAAGCAAAGCCAAAGAAGCGGTATGGGATGCTCTGAAAGAGACGCCTAGGAAGACAGATTTGGGGTTTCCCAGCCAGCTCTTCCTTGGCTGAGAGCAGCAGGAACTTCCCAGCCCTGGAAGGGCCTTCTTGTCAAGGCCTGTTCCCTACAAACACATTTGAGAGGCAGGATAGGGGGCCCCACCTGCCTCTCTGAGCTGCCTGTATCAAACGGCAAACATGGCCAAACCGTGCCGCAGTCTGTCTGGGCTCTCGCTCAGGGCTAAACACCTTTTGCCAAGTTGCTTTACTGCAGTCTCAAGTCATTGCTCCCCAGAATAGCAGCTCAGAGTTCACTGAACCAAGGAAAATTTTGTGCTTTGAATTTTACTCTGGGGTAGTTCACTTCTATTTCCAAATTTTTATGTTCTTCATTTACTGCAATTTCTTTGGAATTAAATAAATGGGTAATTTTCTCTTAATCTCCCAGACTATCTCAGGCACAGGCTGTGGGTCTACGGAGATGGCTCCAGCCTCATTGTACTGCGCCCACTATTGGTCTGTGTAAAGTACCATCTAACAGTCTTCTATTTTCCAACAGGGATGCATATTCTTCTGTTACTTGTTTCCTACTGCTTGCTAACATCAGCAGGTCAGGACAGGGGTATGTAACAAAGCAAGGTACCCTCCTTCTGCCAGCTTGCTTCCAGCTGCACACTGGGATCTGTGACCACCCAAAGGCCTGTAGCCACATGGCTTTCATGGCAGGATTCACCCAAAAGCCGGATTCTCACTGCTAGCTCTTAAATAAGGCTTGTGATGGAAAACATGGCCGTGCTTTCCTCCAAGACTGGCACTCAGCAGGGAGCTGGGCACTTCAACAGCCTCCCTGCAGCACGCTCACCCTGTCACTACCAGTTTTCTGACAGGGAGCACTCACCCCCTGACAGCCAGCTCAGAGCTTCCTTTCAGAAGTTACAGCTCGATCAGATGTTACTGGCTTAATAAAGACATCAAGGCCTCAGTTCTCGGTACTTTCTGGTTGTTTTCTTCTAGTCTTTCTCTCACCTTGGCACTTGCGTGTACCTCCTGGGATCATTCATACAGCGTATGTCTCTCTGATTAACGTTAATACCTCTCAGTGTGAAAACTAACTACTAAAAAAGGGGTTGTGACTCAGATGTGCAGTAACATTTTAAGTCCTCTGCTGATCACTTAGTGTCAAACCCGCTCTTAAATTTTCCATTGCCAACTGTGCAGAACAAGTGCAGCTTTATCTGTTTTCCTAACTCCTTCTCCAGCGCCAGACAGAACCAGCTCTGCACTCTCCATTAATCTGCAGTGCATGCCTTTCCCATCACAACTTAATTCTTTTACCTGAACCCTGATTTAACGCCTCCTTTGTTCCCTGTATTTGTCCAGATTCTTAATGTGCTGATCTGGCTTAGGGCTTGTTTACTGTACCCAACTGGAATATTTTGCATGCTTATACAAAGACAAATAAAGATCAGTATCCTCATTGATTTGCCCTAGGTCATCAGGTAAATCAGTAAGGAAAAAACCTCTGCATCCTACTTCATTTGCCTAAATCAGCAGCACAGTTCAAATAACAAAACAGTGCTGCAATGACACTCCAGTAGGAACTCTGAAATCCACCTGAAATGCCGCTTGTTTCACACCTTACTTGTAAAAACCTGTGTCCAAACGCTGAAAAGAAACTTGGATGAAGACACCACAGGACTGCTAACTGCACTAGGTAAAACTGGATGGGACATTCCTGTTTCGCTCTGCATCTCTAAGGTAATCAAATGCGGTACCAGCCCCTGTGACCTGGGATGAAGGACAAGGATGTTGCAGGTAATGCAGACACCATTTTTTGTAATTCAGTTCTCATGTGGTTGTCCCAAGATTAAAATTAACCAGTGCTTTCCTGTAACACACTTGCAGGGAACTGCTGGTGCAGGAGGAAGCTCCTGTCACAGCTGACATGGCTCAAGCTACCAGTGCCTGCAATTCCACTAATAAACTGAGCAAGCGTTAAGTGCTTCAGTTAGCTTGTGGTGGAGCAGGGGGTACTAAACCACCGGTCTCAGACTTCAGATGCAATATGCTCGGCCCATTTCTCAAGGACCTGGTTCGAATCACTGCTGCCCCAGTGACTGACTAACACCCAATAACATCCTTGAGGTTGCTTATCTTTGTATGCAATTATGACAGGCTTTACTTCCTCCTCTTTTCTGCATAGGAAGATACAAAAGAAAATACAAAACTAACAGAGGAAAGGAAATAGTAAATAGCAATTCCAGTATCTTCCACTATGAGCTCCACAGTCAGAGAGGTTTTATTTTGCTTTTCAAAAAATAGACAAGATCTGGATTTGTGACGGTCTTGCTACCTTCATGAAAGCATCAGACCATCATAACCCTGTACAAAGAATCCCTTTTTGTCACAGCCAAGCACGTTTATGTAATTGATATCACAGAAAGTTTTGACATCTTCAGGTAGGTTTCATTCAGTAAAAAAAATTGGTATTAAAAGTTAACATTGCAATATGGCCCATCGCTGCCCCGAACGACGCACAAGCAAACCATCTGTCTGTGTGTCCCGACCTTTAGCTTATTCTGCCCGTGAGTTTATCCACATGCATTGGACCGTTGCCCGTGGCAGTTTTCCAAGGGAAGCAGTAGCCCTAGGACAACATAAAAGCTACGCTTTCGAATGCTGACAGCCAAATCTAGGCCATTCATTTCTTTAGAGATGATCTTATGATCTGTTTGAAGTCTTTTCATCGAGCATTGGAGCAAATACTCATAGTGCATGTCACCTACCAAAGACTAGGAACATCCTCTTGTCTCACCCCTCAATATGTTATTTCCATATGCTGCACGATGCTATGTCAACAGGTAGAGTTTCTGTGCCTAGCCCTAGCGGTAGAGAAAATAAGGGCCCAAATAAGTTCAACTGCATTTCCAGAGCATTGGCAGATAGCCTACTGACGAGCTGGATGAAACCATCAGAAAGGACTAAAATGAATCTGTTCCAAAAAGTACTACTTGAACCAAGAAACACCACTGCTAAGCATGCAGGTGTGAAGGCTTTCCCTTCACTACAGGTGTGCTGCAAAACCAGAGCCCAGTGCTCAGTCAGGAAGCTTGATCACTGACAGTTGCAAAGATGAAAGCTGTAAATGTTACCCAAAAAGCCAGGAAGAGTAGGACTTTAGTCCAGATACATTTATTACCCAGTCATAGAACCATGCGTCGAAAAGCAAAGCATTAGAAGAATAAATACCATAAACCACCTATGTGGAAAACAAGAACAGGTACCTAAAGGCAACAGCAAAGAGCAATAAAACAAAAAAAAACAACCCAACCTTGCTAAAGATTCTTATTCTGCAAGAGGAAATCAAAAGATCAAGTAAGTTTGGATGCCGGATTTTCTTAGCAGTCAATCTCCATTTTAGAGAAATGAGGCAGTGAAAGGCCTATCTAGCATTTAGAGTCTTTACTTTACATGAGGGCATGCACCTCAGCTTGAGAGGAAACGGCCTCAGGTTAAAAACGCTGCATAAAGCAGTGTTGCTGCAGCTTGGCAAGTATTCTTCATGGCACAATGTAAAATTCCTACCATTCCTGAATCACTGCAGTACTTAAAGATGATGATTTCAAAATGTATTCAAGAGTAATTCATTTGAGCAGCTTCTTATTTCCATGAAACAAGTTTCAGAATCGAGCACTAGTAAGGTGAAGAGTCAGGTATTCTGGCAGAGGCTTGTCATGTGGCAAGTCACCTCAAGAATTTTTCTGTCCTACACCATAGAAGGTGGAGACAATACTAGTCATCACTGCAGAAGCAAAGGAGAAGTAAGCATTAGTAAAATTTAACAGATTAGGTAATAAATATAGTTACGTTACTATTATTTAATTCAACAATTACTAACAATGGAAAGAATAGCCACAACAGAGTCAGCTGTTGTTCCTCAAGTCCTGAAACACGATTACTAAAGGAATATGGTTTGGATCTCCTGCACAGAAGCAACAAACCTGTAACTGTAAATGGTCTGTATTTGTTACATCAAAGTAGCGCAGTTGTGTTACTCTAGTTCTCTCTTGTGAAAGAAGATTGAGGGATCAAAACTACTGACCCATTTTTTAGGAAGAACAAAGCTCATCCTAGAGTTCCATTCAAAACGTTTGCCTACAATCCAACATTACTCAAGCAAACAGCTTGACAGTACTCCACGCACCGAATTCTAGCCTCACAGAACAGTTATTACACACAGCCCTCAAGCAGTAAGTCCTTAAACACACAAGCTCTCTTTTCAAAGGTTGCTGCCAATTGCCCAGAGAGAAACTACAAAGAACTCCATACACACACAGATTTTTATTTTAATAAATAAAGTTTTACAGGCTCAGGCTTTTTTTTTTTTTTTAAATCACATATACAGAACAGAAGAATGCCTGACCAAGTAACATGGATTAAACTACTAAACCTGGGAAGGAACGCATGCCCTCTGTAACACTGAAGACCTTAACTGAAAAGGGACTTCCCATCGGCAGCACAGTAATTTACTTCACTTGAAAGAGATGGGGCCAAAGCAAAGAGAGTGACCCTAAATGGACCACTTGTGTCTACAGAGCCACAACAGTGCAAGGAAAGCCAAGAGCCCAAACGCCTCCACTTTCTAGTGTCGCTCCTGGATGAATATGTATGTCTTCACGTCCTTTAAGCAACACATTCTAACCACAAGTAGAGAGGCTAAGCACAGCAGGTATGCAAAATCATTCCATTGAAGAACAGACATTGGACGACAAGGTAGCGTTATATTTCAAGATTTTACATTAGCAGATGCTTTCGCATCCCCTTCAGTATGGCAGTGGAACAGATCCCACCTTCTCTCATAGAGGCTTAGTCCAAAAACTTCCTGTTGGCATTAGCACCAAAGAGAGCCACTCTGATTTCTGGCATCATCTGTTGAGAAAGAGTACATCGGTTACACGCAATGGGCAATGCAATTGCTGTACATTCCTCTCTGCAGGCACTGTGTGATAGCTAGGCTAGGCTTCAAAATTAAGAAGTCAATTCATTTGAGTTTTCTGAAGCCTTTACCTGATCGCACATTGCCGGCTACTCTACAGACTTAAAGAACTGCCTATACTGCAGCATAAAAAAAAAAAAAAAAAAGAGAGATGCTAGAGCTATTTCTTTTCCACTAGGGTATAACAGGTCTCAGCTGAAGTTTCCAGTACTCAAGCTAGCTTCAGTAATTCAAGCTAGCCTCGGCATTTCAACATCTTGACTGCAGTGTAGTCATGACGAGTCTTTCAGTATCATAACTTCTAGTGGTTTATGATAATGCTTAATTCAAAAGGCATCATTCTGGGAAAAGCCATGACTGTTGTAGAGAAGCACAAACAGTAGTAATTTGCTTCTTTCCATTCAAAAAGAAACTTCTGACTTGTCGTTCACCCTGAAATCTGATCCCCCACACTATTGTGATAGTTAACACACTGGAAACACTAGGATTTAATTACAAGACAAAACTAGTTAATTATAGCTTGTACACCTTGGCTGTTAGAGAAACTCACCTGCTGGGCTACAAGGTCCAGCCGACTTTCCAGGGTATTGGAAACCTTAATTTTACCATCACTGTTATAGATTTCAACACCTCCAGCACTAGAAATGGGGAAAAAAAAAAAATAAAAAATCGTGAAATCCATGGTACTTCTCAAAGTCAGAATGTGGCAGAGATGTTATCCCCAATCAGTGCTTACAGGCAAGTCAGATACATAGATAAGATTTGTATTTTTTAAAAAAGAAAACTTTTTTTGATCATGCCTTAATACGAATCATCACAAAGAGGTCCAGTGAAGCAGCAGTGCAAAGCACCTTTGGAGTTATCAGAGACCACAGTTACATACAAGGGTCCCCATTAGCACGGCCTAAATGCAAGCGGAGCTATGGAATTTGCCACTTCAAAACAGCTTCAGACTCCATATTTCATTAGCAATAGACAGCTGTCAGATTTTGGGAAGTGAGGAAGAGTGCTAAAAGTTTTGTTTGCGGGCCCATACATACAGATCACTGACTATCACTCACAACATACAGCTTTGTGCCATGTTCTTTATCGTACTGTACGGAAATGGAGCCTTGCAGACATAGCAGACACAAACCCCATCAAGTGACTACTCTGCAGCACCTTATGACTCAATTTGCTTCATCTTGAGACCAAAAGCACGGCTACACTCACACTCTCTCTCTTTTAAAGAGAACCAATAGTTAGTTAGGTTTTTACAGTTAATCTCTACTTCAGTACTGTGAACCAGGTTGGAGGTTGCACAAAACTTCTATTAACATTTTTGATTGAGACGGTGCTCGTCTGGAGGCAACTGCAGAGTCTGTGCTTGATTAACGCAAAGAAGTGCCAAATTCCACTAGAATAGCAGCAGACACACTGTGGGGATATTCCATACATAATTTTCTGAGACTTCTAGTGCAAGCTATGGCTTGAAAAATTGCATTAAGTTAGTGGTCTGTATAAAAGACTCCCATTTTCCTTACATGTCCTCTGGCAGGAAGTTGTCTGGGTCAATGTGAACATCCACATCCCTTTTTGTGGCATTTTTGTAGATGGGAATGCTCTTCTGTACAGCAGCCTAGGATACAAGATAAACCTCCAATTAGCATTGACAAACACTAGTGCACCACCTGGGTTTGGTCACTCAATCATATGTAGTAATAAAATGAAAGGATTGAGGACACTTTTTTTTTTTTAATTAAGCAAATGTATTTCAGTATGGCTTTTGAGCCAAAACCAATTTTATTCTTAATATTGTAGCAATGTCTACAGTTTCCTAGGTAATAGCCAAGCAAGCAAACGATGCCCAGCTTGAAAAGCATACTTATTCTCTTGCATTGTATCGGCAGCAGAAGCGCAGCAAGCAAAGCTTGTTTCCATGTCATACAAACGGGAACTGAGCAGCAAATATTTGCAGTCAGGTCCCAGCCTTTGTGATCAGGATATTGTCAAACTCTTCCAGGTGTCTTACCTTGACCATAGCGAGATCCTGTTTCCTGCACCGAACAACTATTCTGGGCTCAAGCAGCTGGTAGAATCCCTGCACAAGATAACCAAAAAGTCAACATCTTAATTGTCTTAGAATTATTTAACCCCAAGAAAGGAAAGGAGCAGAACAATTTTAAAACCAAACCCTGACAATATTAGCTTCTTTTATTTTGTTCTTTGCTTGCAAGTTCACCTCATGCAGACATTCTGAGATGACAACACCAATAGCTGGCAAAGAGCCTACAACTATGGATTATGCGTTTCTTCGTTAGATGCAAGTTTGAACCTAACTCAAGTGCATCTAAACGTATGTACCATAGGATTGACTTGTCCAGACAATGTACATGTATACATAAGGATCATTGCTGTCTAAGCATAGTGAGCACACAGCCAAGCTGACAGTCTCCTACGCAGCTCCTGGAGAAGATGTGCAGGAGTTTCAGATGCCTGTTCAAATAACTGCCTTGCAGTTCCTGTGGTAATACATGAGGGGCGAGAGAGGAGGGCGAGAGAGGAGGGCG